ATCGGAGGCTCCACAACTTTGGAAAATAAATAATACCCCTCTAAACATGCTTAACAACTTTGAAAAATAAAGCTCCTCAACAATCATGTCCAAAGGAGTCATAGATTAAGTCTGATGAAGTTTGCAATGAAAACTCAAATATTCACAATTTGAGTTCAAAATTCAAAGGTTCAAATTCGCAAGAACCTTTTAGCTTTGCAAGAATTCATTAAAATTTGATTTTTAAAATTTTAGTTTCACAAGAATTTGATTCACAAAATTTCAGATATGTAAGAATTCAGATTTGCAAGATTTGAAGATTTGCATTTTTGAGATTCTCATCCAAAGTTTTAATTTAGGGATTTGCATGCATATTGCAAGGCTCACATCCAATATTTAAATATTCTCATTCAAATTTTAGAGATTCACATCCAAAAGTTTAAAGCTTCTTATTTGAGCTTAAGTTCACATTCAATAAATCTTAGAGTTTCACATATAAAATCTCAAAGATTCTCTTTTGAAATTCAAAGACTCTCATTTAAGAATTCAAAATTTCATAGATTCTCATTTGAGGATTCAAAATCTTGTCGTAAAAGACTTCATCAAAATATGTAAAAATTTTTCCAAATGACTTTCAAACTTTTATCAAAATCAAAAATTTGTATGTAATGAATGTCATGATCAATGCTGCAAATGCTTTCTTAATGATAAAAATGCAACAATTTAGATCGTCACAATACTACAAATGCCATATTCTCAATCATGATTCAAATATTTACTGCATAATGCATGTCTAAACAAAGTTTTAAATATTCACTGAATTATGTGCATGCATGTAATGCAGATAAATGTCATGAAATTTAAATTAATTGTGGTAATATGGTTCTCAAAACCCCACCATCTCACATTTTTCCTTTTATAGCTCCTCAGCACTTTAGAACAAGTTTCGTCAACTGATCCTCATTTTTTTTTATCATTTGATCGCCATTCATAAGCTTTTCAGCACTAACCATTCTAGAATGAATTTCGTCCATTGATACTCATCATTTGATCACATCTCACAAATTATGTCGACCAATCTATCACCATACATGTATCATCTTTTCAGGTTTCAAACATCTCTTCATTTTTTTGCCTCCTATCATCATGGATTTTTTTCAGTAAAATGCAAGAATCTTTTATGCACATTATCATTCATTCATCATCATTTCAAATCATGACAACTATAATGCAATCACCCATCTTCTCGATTTATTTCGAGGATGCAAGAATAAAAGAGCACAAGATGAATTGGGGGAGTGAGTATAGTACAAAAACAAATAGGCAAATGAGCACGTTCAAAGATGTTACTAGGAATGGTATTGAATGGTACCCCAGTGTCCAATCAATGAATACCTAGACAATTCTCAACATTAATCTAGAAATATTTTTCAAAAACTCATTCCATTGACTTCTGAAATCAATTTTGAGCGCATTGAACTTTGCCCCAACTTTGAGAAATCTTTAGATTTCTTTGACCTTTCATCCATGTATACTGTTTATCCAACTCTTAACTCAGAGATTTTTCTATTCAAATCGTCCTTTCGGGTTTTCAACTTGAGTATTCATTTTCTCTCATTTTCTTTTTTTCATTTTTTATTTTTCATTTTTTTTCTCTTTTTCTCTTTTTTTTTTCATTGTTTCATTTTTTCTTTTTTCATTTTATATGTTTTCAAATTTTTTTTATTTTTTTATTTTTTTACTATTGATATTTCCCACACATCAATCTCTAACACACATAACATAGCACAATTCTATTACTCCATTATAAGCATGCCTCAACCCAATATATGATAATTTAATTTGAGCATTCACATTTGATCCAAATAGACTTTTAAAGGTTGTAATATAGGCTGTGGTGAGGGGTCATGAGAAAAATGGACAAAATAGGCTCAAAACACATGTTTACAAGGTTTAGAACCAAAAGATCATTCATCATTTGATGCAACTTGGCATTTTGCCGCATTCCATATCATTACACTACTTTTCCCTTTTTCTTTCATCTCATTCCTCACAAAAGAACTCTTCTTACTTTGCCCAAAATCATGTGTGACATTCATTTCTCTTTTATCCTTTTTTTTGTTTTGCTTTTCTTTTTCTTTTTTCTCTATCTTTTTTTTTTCGCTTTCCATCCTTCAGACCTTTTGCAATCTTTTGTCTATTTTACTTTTTCAAAAATTACCCCCCAGTGTGGAGAGTGATCCTTGGTCGAATTTCTTAAAAAAAAAAATCATAATAGGTCAAAAAGGGTAGCAATAAATAGTTTTTCAAATGGTATAAGAAAGGTTGTCATTTTTTATCTCAAATGTAAATGCTTTCCTTGAAAATCATCTATTGAACCAAAATAAACTCATAGATCTTTATAAAGAACTGCATATCTTCAAGACATATCTATTTCACCATTACTAGTAGCTTTTTTTTTTTTGCTCAAATAGTCTCTTCAAATTGAACTTTATCAATGTGAGTGAGTTTCCAAAATTAAATCCCAAAATTAATGTTATCATTGTCTAAAGATTCATCATTTGAAATTTAAGAATGGGAATAAAAGGACATGGAAAAAAAATAAAACATGGAATAGTGGTTGAATGAAAGAGAAAATGTAATGAAATGCACCATCCTTGCCTGTTATTGAAATGATAAAAGATGAAATCTTATTGCAAAAAAGAATTCCTAACATTACTTTGAAAGAAAACCTAGAATGATAAGCAACATCGAACCAGCCTTAACATCCTTTTCCTTTCCAAAATTATGCCCTCATGTAATCAAGTGAAGAATTTTTCTTGACATCTTACCCTTAATTCATTGCAGCTCTTTGAGTCTTTCCAAATCACACTCATTCTTGATCTTTACTCGAAGCATTGATATTGTAATTAGGCAATAGATTCCACTAGCATTATGTGTTGTTACCCCTCCTTGATCAAAGTTTATCATTTCATCTTTGATTAATCATTGCATTTTGTGTTTTAAAACTGTGTAATTTTCAATAGAATGACTAGCGATTCTATAGTGATAGTCACAGTAAATTGTAAGATCATATCACTTGGGATAGAGCGGCTTGAGTGGCTTCAGATGATTGAGGGTAATCAAGTGGTTATTATAGATGATTGAGGGTAATCAAGTGGTTATTATAGAGCTCTTAGTATAAGTCTGTATAAGTCATGGAGATTGAGTCAAATATGAGTTTTTCTCGGGTATTTCATTACTCTCGTGAACCATTTATTGGGTTAATAGAACAAATCTGGTATCTTAGAAGAGGTTGAATGTTAAGGCTGTATATGGGAGTAGGCTAATATGTTGGTGGATAAGATGGCAATGGGGTTGGTTGGTATAGGTAGGATGAGGTATTGTTCATAGTAGGATAGTATGAGGAATAATCATGTGGTGGATAAGGTTGATATCCCCTGAACTATCTATCAAAGCTTACAGCTTGAGCTTCAATCTCTTTCTTTTTTGGAGCTTTCTTAATTTCACCTCTTTTCAACTTGCCATTTTAATGGCATTCTCAATAATTTCATTTGAGATCACCATGTTGATGAAATTGTTTGTTGTATTCCCTATTATTTTTTCATAATAAGGAGATTTTAAAGTGTTGACAAGTAACACTATAGTCTCTTTTTCAGTTAGAAGAGGCTACACTTGAGAAGCTACATCCCTCTACCTTTACGCATATTCCTTGAATGATTCATTTGCCTTTTTTCCATATTCTACAAAGACAGGCGATCAGGGGCTAAGCCTATGATATGTCAGTACTGATTGATGAAATCGTGGGCCATATCATTTCAAAAATGAATGCGGGTTCTATCAGTTGGACATACCACCTAGCAGCAGAGCTCGTAAGGTTATCTTGAAAAATATGCATTAATAGTTTTTTATTATGGGCATAGGTAGCTATCTTTTGACAGTACATAGTAATGTGGGTTTTTAGACACTTTATACCATCATACTTTTGAAACTTTAGCATCTTGAACTTTAAAGGAATAACCACATCTGGGACTAAATAGAGCCCAGTAGCATCTACAAAATCATAAAAATCGATTCCCTTTATGGCTTACAATCTTTCCTCTAATAAATTCATCTTCTATTCAACATTTGAGGCTTCTTAAATCTTCTTCTCCTTAGGCTTCAATTTCTCTTTCTCTTCCAAATCATCCAAGTTAGGGATTGGTATTGGTTTCACTAGCTTTTCAATAAAGATAAGATTTACATAACTTTGGTATTACCCTAAATTTGAAGCTGATGGCATTCTAGGGTATGTATACCCTACAGAGTATGTAAATTGCTAGAGTGGTGCATCCTAAGTGGTTTGGGGTTGATGAAGCCCAACGCCAGAAGGATATATAGGGTTAATCACCTCTTGTAAAGGATGGTCTTATTGGCTAGTATTTTCTTCTATACCCTTTCCCTTGTTTAATTTGTTCAAAGCATCAAAGATCTTACTCAACTCCCTTTCAAGCTTCTATTGAGTTTTCTCTATCCTCTTGAGATGATTGGAATTTTGGTGTTCCATCTGTCTAGCTCGAGCCCTTTTATTGTATTGGTGAGTTGAGTGTGTGGGATTCTTGGTTGGTAGAGCTATCCTTAAACCTTAAAGATCATAATTATGATAGAAAATGATATGCTATGCTTTATGTTTGATGCATAAATGAAATGGATGAAATCTAATATGAAAATAATGCAGATGCATAATGTTAAATATGACAGTGGAAATGATGCATGATAATGCAAATGAACAAAGTTAAATAAACAAAATGTTTAGATCGCAAGCCATTATTCTTGTTCTAACTTCGGGTTACATCTATCGATGGGTGGGAATGGCTCTATCCTAAGGCTAGCCTCTTAAGTGTAAACTATATACAGGGTTAGGTGACTTTGACCACTAAAGGTTCCCAAATTGTTCCTTACATTATTATCCATCACAGACTAATAAGGCTATCCAATCTTCACCCATCATAGGATACTAATAAAAATAATTCAATTTGAGTGAGAGTATTTTGCTAGCCATTGTAAAGATTATCATCTCATAAGAGCATAGGTATTTTACTTCCTCTTGAGAGGAACAGAGCCCGGGTATAAAGCTTATGTAATGCAAATGCATGTGATAGTGTGTGGAAAAACATTTAGTTACAAGTGGTTGTATTTTGTAATCTACTGATTGTAATCTGTATATATCTGTATCCCTAAAATTGAGAATTTGTATCTCTAGAATTAAGGACAGAATATCGGGATAAACAATTCCTTGATTATAGGGATTAGATTTAGGAATATTTAGTTTCTTAGTTTACTCTCCAGTTAGTTGTATTTAAATCTATGGTGTTTGTATGATTCAAAATACAAGTTTTCAATATACTCTCATTTTTCACATGGTATCAGAGCTTTAGACTCTTCTTGGGAAGAAAATTTCTCAGCCTTCATTGCTGAATTTTTAGGCCTTCATAGCCAAATTCTGTTAAGTCTATCATACTTTTATTTTGTTCCTCTTTTTTTGGCCTTCATTGCCTATACTTGTTTCAGTCCTGAGAAAGGTAATCATGTTAGAAATAGCAGAATCTACTGCTACTACTCGATTTGGAGAAGTAACAACTGGCCAAACCACAGCGAAATTACAGAATATCCAAGCTGCATACAGGTTGAATGGAAAGAACTACTTGAAGTGGTCTCAATTGGTTCAAACCTTTCTAAAAGGGAAAGGAAAATTGAGCCATCTTTTTGGCACTGGTCATGAGAAAGGAGATCCAAAATTTGAGGCTTGGGATGAAGAGGATTCTATGGTTATGTCATGGCTGTGGAATTCTATGATGCCAGATATTAGTGACACTTGTATGTTTTTGTCCACGGCCAAAGACATTTGGGAATCAATTCGTCAAACCTATTCCAAAGTTAAAGATGCTGCTCAAGTCTATGAGGTCAAGATCAAGACTGCAGCTCTCAAACAAGGGAATAAGTCAGTCACAGAGTATGCTATTCTTCTTAAAAATCTTTGGCAAGAGATGGATCACTACCGGTGCATAGAAATGAAGTGCAGTGAAGATGCAACAACTTTGAAGAAATTTATTGAAAAAGATCGAGTCTATGATTTTCTTGCTGGACTGAATGTTGAGTTTGATCAAGTCAGAGTCCAAATTCTGGGAAAACAGGATCTGCCCTCTTTAAATGAAGTGATATCCATGGTTAGAGCAGAAGAGAGCAGAAGAGGAGTGATGCTTGACAGTGTGCATGTAGAAGGATCTGCTATGGTCTCTAATGGTGGGAAGAACCAAAGCTTAGAACAATTACCAGTCAGTGAGAATGGGAAGGGTGATTCGGCTAAAACTTCAAATCGCGACAATCTTTGGTGCACTTATTGCAAGAAGCCAAGGCACACCAGAGATCGTTGCTGGAAACTACATGGAAAACCTTCAACTTCAAGCAAAGAATGGGGTTATAAAGGAGGACAGCCAAGAAATCAAGGACAAGCTAACATGACTGCAATGGAGTTAAACTAGGAGAAGTCTCAGGAATAAGGAGAGTTGGATAAAAAAGAGATTGAGAAACTGAGAAGCCTATTGGGAACTCTTGAAAAGGCTACTGGTGTATGCTCCTTGGCACACTCAGGTAAGGACTCTGGTGCAGGTAAAGTCTCTAATTCTCATGGATTAAATGTCTCAGATAAGTCCATTAAGAGTTCTTGGGTCATTGACTCGGGAGCCACAGACCACATGACACATTCTTCACAAAAGTTTAGTACATATACCCTATGTCCTGGTACTAAGAAAATTATTGTTGCAGATGGTTCACTTACTACAGTGGTAGGATTAGGAGATGTTCAAATTAATCCCTCATTCATTCTTAAAAATGTTCTTCATGTTCCTAGATTGTCTACTAATCTGATATCTATACAAAGACTTACTAGAGACATGAACTGCAATGTGACTTTTTATCCCTCTTACTGTGAATTTCAGGACCAGGGTTCGGGGAAGAGGATTGGACTTGCTAAGGAGAAGGATGGACTATACTATCTTGAGACATCCAACAACATAAGTAATATCAAGAATAGTTTACCTTTGTCATTTCTTTCTGAACAATCTTCCAATAAAGACAAAATCTGGCTTTATCATTTTCATTTTGGACACCCTTTTTTTGGAACTTTGAAAAACATGTTTCCTTCTTTGTTCAAAGGATTAAACGTTGAAGAGTTTCATTGTGATGTTTGTGAACTTGCAAAACACAGAAGTGTATCTTTTTCAATTAGTAACAAAAGAAGTTCTACTCCCTTTTACTTGATTCATAGTGACATTTGGGGTCCCTCTACAGTTCCTAATATTTCTGGGGCAAGATGGTTTGTGTCATTCATAGATGATTGTACCAGGGTTTCTTGGGTTTTTTTACTTAAATCCAAATCAGATGTGAATAGTGTATTTTTTAGCTTTCAAAACCTGATCTAAAATCAATTTGGAGTGAGAGTCAAGAGATTTAGATCTGATAATGCAAAAGACTATTTCAACCAGAGTCTATCCACCTATTTTCAAAATGAGGAGATTATCCATGAGTCATCTTGTGTTAATACTCCACAGCAAAATGGAGTGGCAGAGAGAAAAAACAGTCATTTACTAGCCACAACCCGAGCCTTCCTTTTTCAAGCAAATGTGCCCAAATCTTACTGGGGGGAAGCTGTTCTCACTGCTACACACATTATAAATAGGTTACCTTCAAGGGTTTTGGGATTTAAAACTCCTATGGAACTACTCTCACAATTCTATCCCAACCTTAATACCACAAACAACCTCACACCTAGGATATTCGGTTGTACATCATTTGTTCATGTTCACAGTCATAATAGGGGAAAGTTGGATCCGAGAGCAATTAAGTGTATCTTTGTGGGGTATTCATCAACTCAGAAAGGGTATAAGTGCTATCATCCTCCTACCAAAAAGTTCTATGTGTCTGCAGATGTCACTTTTGAAGAAAGTAAACCATTTTTTATTCAACCTTATCTTCAGGGGGAGACAACATTTATAGAAGATAAGGATAAAGACTTCTTTTTGCTTGACTTGTCATCCTCATCCAAAACAGTTTCACCCATTAATTCTTTTGAACCTAAACCCATTTCTTTAGAGTCCAAGTCAAACACTGATTCTAAATTTGAACCCATTCCAAACACAGAAGTTGTGACTAAAGATAATACTATTCTTGATTCTGTGAAAGAATTACAGGTGTACTCAAGAAAGAAAGTTCCAGCTCCTGAACCGGTGCAAATCCAAGAACCTGATCCTAACTCTGAAAATGAGGTAATTACAGTTTTTGATTCTATTTCTCAAAATGAGCATGACTCTCCTAAAATTAGTGATTATGATCTACCTATTGTCATTAGGAAAGGAACTAGAGAATGTACTAAACATCCATTATACCCAATCTCTAATTTTGTGTCATTTGAAAAGTTTTCACCATCTCATAAAAATTTTCTTGTGAGCCTAGATACTATTTCTATTCCAACTACATTATCTGAGGCATTATCCAATGAGAAATAGAGGCAGGCGATGAAAACAGAAATGGAGGCCTTAGAGAAAAATAAGACATGGGAACTGATAGAGTTGCCTGCAGGAAAACATCTAGTTGGGTGTAAATGGGTTTTCATTGTAAAGTATAAGGCAGATGGTACTATTAAAAGATACAAGGCCAGGTTGGTGGCTAAGGGCTACACTCAAACTTATGGAGTGGATTATCAGGAAACTTTTGCTCCAGTTGCCAAGATGAATACAGTTAGGATTTTATTATCCTTGGCGGTAAATTACAATTGGCAGCTTCAACAATTTGATGTAAAGAATGCCTTTTTACATGGTGATTTGGAAGAAGAAATATATATGAAAGTTCCACCGGGATTTGGGGGTCATCTAGAAGCACAAAAAGTATGCAAGCTAAAAAAGGCTTTATATGGCCTTAAACAGTCTCCTAGGGCCTGGTTCGGGAGATTTGCCAAAGTGATGCTAGGAATGAAATATAAACAGAGTCAAGGGGATCACACACTGTTTATCAAGCACTCAGATTCGGGTAAGGTCATAATTCTATTAGTATATGTTGATGATATAATTGTAACTGGAGATGATGAAAAAGAAAGAGAGTCTCTAAAACAGTGTTTGGCCAGAGAATTCGAGATAAAAGAGCTAGGAAGATTGAAGTACTTCCTAGGAATTGAAGTAGCCCACTCACGTCATGGTATTTTTATCTCACAACAGAAATATGTGATGGATCTTTTGAAGGAAACTGGGAAGCTCGCATGTAAACCTGCAAGTACCCCTATAGATCCTAATCATAAGCTTGGAGAAGCTAATGAAGATACTGTTGTAGATAGGGAGATGTACCAGAGATTAGTTGGAAGACTTATTTATCTCTCACATACTAGACCTGACATAGCATATGCTGTGAGTGTGATAAGTCAATTTATGCATAGCCCTAAAGAAGTACACCTACAGGCTGTCTACCGTGTACTACACTATTTGAAGGCCAATCCTGGGAGAGGTATCTTGTTTAAAAGAAATTCAGGGTTGGTATTAGAGGCATATACAGATGCTGATTATGCAGGTTCAGTAACTGACAGAAGATCTACCTCAGGCTACTGCACTTTTCCAGGTGGTAATCTTGTAACTTGGAGGAGTAAAAAATAGAATGTGGTGGCAAGATCAAGTGTTGAGCAGAGTTTAGGGCAATGGCTCAAGAAATTTGTGAACTACTATGGTTAAAGATTATTCTAGAAGACTTGAAGATCAAATGGGATGGACCAATAAGACTTTACTGTGATAATAAATCTGCAATAAGCATTGCACGCAATCCTGTGCAACATGACAGAACAAAACACATTGAAGTAGACCGGCACTTCATAAAGGAAAAGCTAGACAGTGGATTGATTTGCACCCCATATGTATCAACCAAGGGTCAACTTGCAGATGTGTTGACTAAAGGCCTCAACAGTATGACATTTCAGGAAATTATTTCCAAGCTGGGAATGGAAAACACCTATTCACCAGCTTGAGGGGGAGTGTGGGAAAACATTTAGTTACAAGTGGTTGTATTTTGTAATCTACTGATTGTAATCTGTATATATCTGTATCCCTAAAATTGAGAATTTGTATCTCTAGAATTAAGGACAGAATATCGGGATAGACAATTCTTTGATTATAGGGATTAGATTTAGGAATATTTAGTTTCTTAGTTTACTCTCCAGTTAGTTGTATTTAAATCTATGGTGTTTGTATGATTCAAAATACAAGTTTTCAATATACTCTCATTTTTCACATAGTGTGTGAAGGAACATATAGGTTTCATGCCCCAAAATAAAATAAAAAAAAGACAAAAATGTTAGTAAACAGATAACACAAATCATTACAATTTAAAACCATTAGACCAAAGAATAGGATAAATTTAAAAGTTTATGGCTTGACTCTCTATAGCTTCCCCAATCGAGTCGCCAAACTATAATAACATATAGATCCATAAATCTATAGTTAAACTTAACAAATGGAGTCGTCACCAATTTTTTTTTAATTAGGTGTGATTGGCCAACTAAGGAATCTACCATTTTAAGGAGCTCTTAAGCGTGACTAAGGGTCCCTAAAAGAATAGGTTCGGGTCTACTAACCAAAACAGGGTTTGAGAGTTCAGTTACATATGGAAAAGTTTATAGTACACTCACATGCCCATCGGCAAGATGGTACTATTTTATTTTAAATTTATCCTAAGGTCTTGACTCTAATAGTTTTAAAGTTTTATGTATTACATATTAGAAATAATTCTTAAGATTCTTTCTTCAATCTGGTAGAACTCTTAAAAATATTTTCTCACTCAAGAGTATTCAAAGATCCCATTGTTTCCTTGAAGAGGCTCCATCGTAAAAAATAGGTTTAATCATTCTTATTTTTTTTGTTTTTATTATTGAAAATATATCTAATTATTCCACCATTTGGGCCAAATTAGAAATATTTTCTTTTTCGAAATTTCTAAAATTTTCACTATTAGGGCCTATTTAGAAATTTTTTTTAATTTATTTTTTAGGAAAGAAAATAATATGACAATTATTTTTCTTGAAATTTCATTTAAATTCTTCCACCATTTAGGACAAATTTAAAGAAATTTCTCACCTAGAGATTTCTTAAGAATTTACCATTTGAAATTTTTAAGAATTTCATCAATGAATAATTATCAAATATCTTCAACCAAATTTGGAAAAGAATACAATTGCTTTTATTAAAATTTCATCTAAATTATTACACCATTTGGGACAAATTTAGAGAAAATTTATCATCTAGAGATTTCTTAAAAATTTACCATTTGAAATTTCTAAGAATCTCATCCTTGGGTAATTTGTATTTTTTCAAAAATTTATATATTTTTTTATTTTTTTAGTTTTCTCTTTTTTTTTTTGTTTGAAAATAAATATCAATTATTGTTATTGAAACTTTATTTAAATTATTCCACCATTTGGGATAAATTTAGACAAAATTTCTCACCTAGGAATTTTATAGAAATTTACCATTTAAAATTTCTATAAATTCTATCATTGGATAATTAATACTTATTCTCAAAAAAATATTTTATTTTTTTATTTTTTATTTTTTCTCAAATTTAATCATGCAAAAATACTAAGAAAAAAAAAACACATAAACAAAAAAATAAATGAAAAAAAAACCAAAACAATACTAAAAAAACAAAATGGCTTAGCTGGAGGGTTGGCACGGCTCGGCTTCAGGCACAGAAAATGGCTTGGTGACTCAGTTCAAAAGCTTAGCTTGGTTTGGCTCAGCGAAAGGGGTTTGGTTAGAGCATGGGTTGGTGAAACGGGTTGCGCTCAGGTTGGGTCACCTGAGCAAAAACATGCTGATCCTAATGGGTTTTTTAACACCAAAATGACATCATTTTAGGACCAATATAAAAAGGTTGAATTTAGTTTTTTCCATTAGATTTCTTTTTTTCCCCTCTCTTTCTTCGTTCTTTTTCTCTCTTTCTATCTCTAGAAC